ATGCCCATGGAAATGACCGTGGGCTGCAGACTACCAGCAAAGGAGGCCGAGTCTTGGGGCAGGAGATCCTGGGTACATACCCCAGCTCTGCCCCTCAAGCTATATGTCCTTTTGTTAATTTTCCACCTCTCTGAGCCTCAGTTTCTTCAAATCTAAAGTGAGAATGGTCCCTGCCTCTCAGTACCGCACTAGCTTGTAGATAAGTGATAACATGAGCAAAGCCTGTAGCAGGGTGCTTGGTACAGTGTGAGCTCAGTCAGCAAGAGGTTCTAGGAATTTAATCTTCCCAGCAGTGCATTGAGCACTGGCATTGTCCCAAAGTTACAGGTTGGGAGACTAAGGCTCAGAGAGGGTGGCCCAGGGTCCCATGGCAAGGGGTGGCAGAGCCTGGGCTAGAACCCTGGTCTTCTGCCTCCAAGCCTTTCACTTTATTTTTATTTTATTATAATTTTTTATTAATATATATATATATATGTATTTTTAAAATATATTTTATTGAATTTTTACAGAGAGGAGGGAGAAGGATAGAGAGTTAGAAACATCGATGAGAGAGAAACATCGATCAGCTGCCTCCTGCACACCCCCTACTGGGGATGTGCCCACAACCAAAGGTACATGCCCTTGACCAGAATCGAACCTGGGACCCTTCAGTCCACAGGCCGATGCTCTATCCACTGAGCCAAACCGGTTAGGGCTATTAATATATTTTTATTGATTTCAGAGAGGAAGGGAGGGGGAGATAGAAACATCGATGATGAGAGAGAATCATTGATTGACTGCCTCCTGCACGCCCCCACTGGGAATCAAGCGGCATGTGCCCTTGACTGGAATCGAACCCGGGACCCTTCAGTTCACAGGCCGATCCACTGAGCCAAACCGGCTAGGGCAGCCCTTCACTTTATATTTGACCTGAGCTGGTCTCCCTGCCTCATTCCCTCCCTCCCTCTTTTTTTTTTTTATTATTAAATCTTTATTGTTCAGATTATTACATTTGTTCCTCTTTTTCCCCCCATAACTCCCCTCCTCCCAGTTCCCACCCCACCCTCTGCCCTCACTCCCCACCCACTGTCCTCATCCATAGGTGCACGATTTTTGTCCAGTCTCTTCCCACATCTCCCACACCCCTTGCCCCCCCAAGAATAGTCAGTCCATTCCCTTTCTATGTCCCTGATTCTATTATAATCACCAGTTCATTCTGTTCATCAGATTATTTATTCACTTGATTCTTAGATTCACTTGTTGATAGATGCGTATTTGTTGTTCATAATTTGTATCTTTACCTTTTTCTTCTTCTTCCTCTTCTTAAAGGATACCTTTCAGCATTTCATATAATACTGGTTTGGTGGTGATGAATTCCTTTAGCTTTTCCTTATCTGTGAAGCTCTTTATCTGACCTTCAATTCTGAATGATAGCTTTGCTGGATAAAATAATCTTGGTTGTAGGTTCTTGGTATTCATCACTTTGAATATTTCTTGCCACTCCCTTCTGGCCTGCAAAGTTTCTGTTGAGAAATCAGCTGACAGTCGTATGGGTACTCCCTTGTAGGTAACTGACTTTCTTTCTCTTGCTGCTTTTAGGATACTCTCTTTGTCTTTTGCTCTTGGCATTTTAATTATGATGTGTCTTGGTGTGGTCCTCTTTGGATTCCTTTTGTTTGGGGTTCTATGCGCTTCCTGGACTTGTAAGTCTACTTCTTTCATCAGGTGGGGGAAGTTTTCTGTCATTATTTCTTCAAATAGGTTTTCAATATCTTGCTGTCTCTCATCTTCTGGCACCCCTATAATTCGGATGTTGGTACACTTAAAGATGTCCCAGAGGCTCCTTACACTATCTTCGTATTTTTGGATTCTTTTTTCATTTTGCTTTTCCGGTTGGGTGTTTTTTGCTTCTTCGCATTTCAAATCTTTGACTTGATTCTTGCGCTCCTCTGGTCTGCTGTTGGGAGTCTGTATAATATTCTTTATTTCAGTCAGTGTATGCTTAATTTCTAGTTGGTTCTTTATTACATCGAGGGTCTCATTAGATTTCTTGAGGATCTCACTATATTTATCGGCGGTCTCACCAGTCTTTTCGAGGGCCTTACTAAGTTTATCGGCGGCTTCTAGACAGTTCTTGAGAGACCTTAAAAGTGTGGTTTTGAACTCTATATCCTCCATTTCTGTCAGTTGTGCCCTGTTTCTTTGTCTCCGCATTTTTTATGCTTTCTTGGTGCACCCCCTTGTGGTCTTTGTGCACAGTCTTGTTGTAGTTAAGCCTTGATTGTTGTAGGTAATACTGGGGGGGATTTGACCTGCAGGCCAACTGGCTGTGAGAATCAGCTGTGTCTGCAGTGGGAGAACTTCTGTCCTCGAGGGAGGTGCTAATCTAGCCTTTTCCTGAGGCTATCCCGCAAATGCCTCTGTGCAGGGCTTGGGCAGGGCGGGTCCCAGGGTATCAACAGGACGGGTGAAGCGAGCAGTTATGCTGCTCTCAGTCCCGTCC